TGAATATTTGTTTGCCTCTCTGATTATGCAAAGCCATCCTACTACAAATATCAAGTAACATAAGCTGCTTTAACATTTTTGTACATACTTTGTATTTATTTTCTTTTTATTCAAATGTCATTGAGGAATAATTGACAAATGGAATTGTATACATTTAAGGCATACAATGTGATAATTTGGTATACGTATATATTGAGAAATGATTACCAAGATCAAGATGATTAACACATCCATCACTCCACATTGTCAATTAATATTTTGTGGTGTGTGTTGTAAGAACACTTAAGATCTACTCTCAGCAACCTCCAAGTATACAATACCATATTATTAACTATAGTCACCATACTGTATATTAGATTCTCAGAACTTATTTTTTTAACTGAATGTTTCAAAGTGCGTACTCTTTGATCTTTATCTCCTCATTTTTCCCTTCCTCCTGCCCCTGGCACCACCATTCTATTTTATTTTCTATTCCTAAGAAATCAGTTTTTTTCTTTCTTTTCTTTTTTTTTTTTTTTTTAAGATGCCACATGTTGGTGATAGATTAAGTATTTGTCTTTCTCTGTCTGGCTTATTTCACTTAGCATAATGTCATCCAGATTCATCCATGTTGTCACAAATTGCAGAATTTCTTCCATTTTGTAGCTGAATACTATTCCTGTGTGGAAACTTCATACTGTTTTCCATTGTAGCTGCACCAATTTACATTCCCACCAACAATGCATAAGGGTTCCCTTTTCTTTACATCCTCACCAACTTTTGTTATCTCTTATCTTTTGATAATAGTTATCCTAACAGGTGTGAGGCAATATCTCATTGTGGTTTTTATTTCAATTTCCCTGATAGTTAGTGATGCTGAACCCCTTTTACATGTACCTACTGGCCACTTTTATGTCTTTTTTGGAAAAATGTCTATTAAGGCCTTTTGCTTATTTTGTAATTGTATTATTTGCTTTTTTCACTAATGAGTTGTATGAGTTTTTTAAAAATATATTTTGGACATCAACTCTTTATCAAATATATGGTTTGGATATTTTCTCCCATTCTATAGGTTATTTTTTTTCAATTAGCTGATTGTTTCCTTTGCTGTGCAGAAACTCTCTGCTTTGATGTAAACCCACTTGTTTCTTTTGGCCTTTGTTGCTTGTGCTTTCGGTGTTTGATTCAATAAATCACTGCTAGGATCAATGTCAGCCTCCTATCTTCTAAGAGTTTTACACTTTCAGGTCTTATGTTTAACACATTTGAAGTTAATTTTTGTTGAGTGGTATAAGATAGCAGTCCAGTTTCAGTCTTTTTCATGTGGATATCTAGTTTTATTAAAGAGACCATCTTTTCCCCACTGTATGTTCTTGGTGCCTTTGTCAAAGATTAGTGGACTGCATGTGCATGGGTTTATTCTCTTCCACTGGTTTATGTGCCAGTTTTTACGCCAGCACCATGCTGTTTTTATTACCATAGCTTTGCAATAGAGTTTGAAATCAGGAAGTGTGATGCCTCCAGGTTTGTTCTTTCTCAAGATTGCTTTGGCTATTTAGGATCTTTTGTGGTTGCATACAAATTTTAGTATAGTTTTATTCTATTTCTGGGGAAAATACCATTGAATTTTTTGTAGGCATTGCATTATATATCCTTGGTTAGTATGGAAATTTTAACATCTTTTTTTTTTTTTTTTTTTTGCAATCTAAGAACATGAGCTATCTTTCTATTAACTTGTGTTTTCTTCAATTTCTTTCATCAATGTTTTATAGTTTTCAGGTCTTTAACATCCTTGATTAAGCATTTTATTGTTTTGGAGGCCATTGTAAATGGGATTCTTTTCTTAATTTTTCGTTCAGACACTTGTTAGTGTATAGAAACACAACTGATTTGTATATGTTGATTTTGTATCCTTCACCTATATTGAATTTGCTTATTGGTTGTAACAGTGAAGACTTTAGGGTTTTCTATATATAAGATCATGTCATCTGCAAACAAAGATGGTTTACTTCTTCCTTTCCAATTTGGATGTCTTTCATTTTTGTTTTTGTTTTTCTCCCTTGCCTAAATTCTCTGGCTGGACTTCCAGTAGAGGTAAAGGTGGAGAGAATGGGAATCTTGGTCTTATTCCTGATTTTAACTTTTCACCACTGAGTATGATGTTAGCTGTGGACTTGTCATATATGGCCTCAATTATCTTGAGGTATATTCCTTATTACCTAATATGTTGAGAGTTTTTATAATTAAAGGATATTGAATTTTATCAAATGCTTTTTTTCTATATCTATTAAAATGACTCATTTTATGTGGTATATTACATTTATTGATTTACATATGTTGAACCATCCTTACATCATCCCAGGGATAATCCCACTTGATCAGGTGTGTGATATTTTTTTTTTAAATGTTTTTTATTTATTTCTGGGAGAGAGAAAGACAGCATGAACAGGAGAGGGTCAGAGAGAGAGGGAGACTCAGAATCTGAAACAGGCTCCAGGCTCTGAGCTAGCTGTCAGCACAGAGCCCGACGCGGGGCTCGAACCCACAAACCATGAGATCATGACCTGAGCCGAAGTCGGATGCTTAACCGACTGAGCTACCCAGGTGCCCCAGGTATGTGATACTTTTAAATGTGCTCTTGAATGTGGCTTGCTAGTATTTTGTTGAGGACGTTTGCATCTATGTTCAACAGGGATTTTGGACTGTAATTTTCTTTTCTTATGATTTCCATACCTGACTTAAGTAACAGGGATTTAATGAGTTTGGAAGTGTTCCTTTATCTTCAATTTTTGGAATAGTTTGAGAAAGGTTGGTAGTAATTATTCTTTAAACGTTTGGTAGAATTAACCAGTGAAGTTGTCTGGTCTTGTGCTTTTATTTATTGAGAGATTTTTGGTTATTGACTCAATCTTCTTGCTCATTAGAGGTCTGTTCAGATTGTCTATTACTTCATGATTAGTCTTAGTAAGTTGTATGTTTCTAGGAATTTATCCATTTATGCTAAGTTATCTAATTTGTTGGCATATAATTTTGATAGTAGTCTCTTATGATTCTTTGTACTTCTGTGGTATTAGTTATAATGTCTCATTTATAATTTTATTTGAGTCATCTTCTGTCTTAGTCTGGCTAAAGTTTTGTCAATTTTAATTATCTTTTCAAAAAAGTTTCAGTGATCTTTTCTATTGTCTTTCTAGCTTCTATTTATTTCTGCTAACTTTCTATTTACTTCTGCTAACTTTAGACTTAATTTCTTCTTTTTCTAGTTCCTTAATGCATAAGGTTAGGTTGTTTGAGATTTTTCTTCTTTTTTACTGTAGGTATTTTTGCTATTAACTCGCCTTTTTAGAACTGCTTTTGCTGCATCCCATAAATTGTTTTTCATTTGTCACAAGATTATTTTTATTTCTTCTTTGACCCATTAGTTGCTCAGAAACACGTTGTTCAATTTCCACATATTTATTAATTTTCCAGCTTTCCTCCAATATTAATTCCTAGGTTGTGTTCAGAAAAGACACTTGATATGATTTCAGCGTTCTTAAATTTGTTAAGACTTGTTTTATGAAAGCCTAACAAATGATCTCTCTTGAAGAATGTTCCATGTATACTTGAGAAGAATATGTATTCTGATGTTTATTGGATAGAATATTTTGTATATGTCTGTTAGGTACATTTGGTGTAAAGTGTAGTTCAAGTCCACTATTTCTTTACTGATTTTCTAACTGGATAATCTATCCATTGTTGAAATGGGGTATTGATTTTCCCAACTATCATTACATTGCTGTCTATTTCTGCCTTAAGATTTGTTAATAACTGTTGAGAATATTTAGGTGCTCTAATATTGGGTGCATATATACTTAAACTGTTATAGCCTCTTGATGAACTGACCCTTTTATCATTACATCAGACCTTGTTTGTCTCTTGTAAGAAGTTTTGACTTAAAGTCCATTTAATCTGATATAAGCATAGATACCCTTGCTCTCTTTTGGTTTCCACTTGCATGGAATACATTTTTCCATCCCTTCACTTTAGTCTATATGTGTCCTTAAGCTTATTTGAGTCTCTTATAGGCAGAAAATAGTTGAGTTTTTAAATCCATTCAGCTATTTATGTCTTTTAGTTGAAGAATTTAAGCCATTTACATTTAGAGTAATTATTGATAGGTAAAGACTTTCAATTGACATTTTGTTAATCGTTTTCTTATTGTTTTGTAGTTCTTTTGTTTTTTCTTCCTCCCTTACTGTCTTTATGAATTGATTATATTTGTAGTGTTAGCCTTGATTCTTTTGTCTTTATTTTTTGTATTTATTATAGGCTTTGCTTTGTCATTGCCATGAGACTTTCATAATACATCTAATAGTTATAACAATCTATATTAAGCTGATAATAATTTAGCTTCAATTGCTTAGCAAAGTTTTATACATTTACTTGCCAGAGAGAAAGGTAGAGAGAGATGATGAGTTAATCGGGGGGAAAAGGGGCAGCCCCTTTACCCTACCTTTTGTAGGCTAGTCTTCTGATTTTTCTCAGTCACTGCATTCATCTTATGTTGTTACCCAGATACACAAATCCCAATATAGAAAACTTGAATTTTAAAAACCACTACTTTTATTTTCTTTATCTTTAAAAACCCAGGGGATTTATATAGTGTGTTATGCAGACAGCTTTCCAAGAAAACACTTTAGATATTTGTCTATCTCTTTAAACTTTCTCACTTCAGAATCTAACTTAACTGCTAGATTAGAAACTCCATGTTAACTAACATTTTGTTTACTCATTATTCTATATCCATCATCTAACATAGTATAGAGCACATAGTTAAACCCAATTAATATTTGTTAAATGAATGAATGTTTAGGTTTTCTTGGTATGCAGTGGAAGAGGAGCTATAGAAGGATCATGGCCAGGATAGAATAGGAAAAAGATACAGGCAAAGGAAAGGGGAAAGCAAGGGTCTGAGAGCACAGTATTGGAAAACATGAATAATATCTTTATTCAACCTGGAGAACCTCTATTTTCTGACCCATCCCCTTCTCATCTTCCTGGAGATCCATTCATCAATTGGGCTGTGAACATAGCAAAACAGAGAAGTCTTCCAGGTTCTCAAACACAAGTAGCTCCTCCTTGCTAGGTTCCCTTCAATCTCTCACTATTAGTATTGCTGTTGTTTGTCAACATCTTCCTGTGGAAAAAGGTAGTTACAGATCCTGATAGGGATTTTCCATCTGAAATCATAAGAATTAAAATTTTTAAAATGTTTATTTGCTTTTGAGAGAGAGACAGAGAGAGACAGAGAATGAGCAGGGGAGGAGCAGAGAAAGAGGGAGACACAAAATCCGAATCAGCCTCCAGGCTTCGAGCTGTCAGCACAGAGCCCAACACAGGACTCAGACTCAAGAACCACAAGATCATGACCTGAGCCGAAGTCAGGCACTTAACTGACTGAGCCAGCCAAGTGTCCCTGAAATCATAAGAATTAAAATGGCTTTGTATTTCTCTTTTTTTCCCCAGATAAATGTTTGTTTTATTGAATAACTGATCTGTGTAATTGCTGAGGCCACTATGTAAAGACAAAAGAGAAGGGATTTTATTTCTTGGTCTCTTCCTCCTTTGATAGAATCTTGATGATTTCCTCCTTGGCTTGGAACTGCTCTTTACCATGCTTCCATGCTTCCTTGGTCTTAGATATGCAGGCCTCCGCCTGGTCAGTCAGAAACTTCTTATGAGCCTTGTCTGCCTTCAGCTTGTGGATATGTTCCAGAGAATCCGCTGGTTTTTGAACACATTACCCTTCATTTTCTTTTTTTTTTTTAATTTTTTTAATGTTTTATTTATTTCTAGGAGAGAGAGAGACAGCGTGAGCAGGGGAGGGTCAGAGAGAGAGGGAGTCACAGACTCTGAAACAAGCTCCAGGCTCTGAGCTGGCAGTCAGCATAGAGCCCTATGCGGGGCTCGAACCCACAAACCGCGAGATCATGACCTAAGCGAAAGTCGGACGCTTAACCGACTAAGCCACCCAGGTGCCCCTACCCTTCATTTTCAAGTAGAGGCTGTGATACATGTGAGTCAATCTTCTTAGATTCAGAGTATCTTCCAAGCATCTGGTGGAGAATTCTCATCCTCTTCATCAGGTTACATTTTCAGGCATTCGAGCCTTGGCAGTACCTTTTCTCTAACCAATTCCCAGGTTCCTGCCTTCCTGGTGGGCCAAAGCATTTTTCCCTCAGCAAACCCTGGGATGGATAGTCACAGTCTTACAGATGATCAGCCCATCTTTGATCAGTTTCTGGATCTGCTGACAGGAGTCGGCAATAGTGATTTCATTGGTTTCATGGGGTCCAACCAGACATCCATTTGGCCAAAGCAGAGAACACTGGAGGCAAGCCTCTTCTGAAGCCTGAGCATGCTCATGGCTGCAGCCACAGGCAAATGGAAAGCAAAAGGGCTTTGTATTTCAAGAGACCCCTGTAGACAGAAAGAGGGCAGATGTCCAAGGCATTTGTGTGTCAAGAATGAATACTCATGGCTTTGTCCTTATTGAGGTCTTTTGAATATAAGTGCATGGAGAACGGATTCTGAGTTTTTCTTGTTCAAAAACATACATAGGAATAATTGGTGATATTCAATGTCATCTAACTGTCAGAAAGAAAGAAAAATATTCCATGCATGGAATTCTGTTTTCTAGGAGGCAGGGTTTAGTTTTATTTTATTTTTTTGTTTTTAGCTGTTACAAGAAGATACATTTTTCTGTGCTTTGACATTTAGTTTGACAAATACAATCATCAGAATTTAGTTTTCAGTCAATTCAGCTTAATTTGTATCTTAAAAGTCAAAATTGGCTTAGAAAAAGTCATCACTCTTGACATATGCTCAAATAATAAACACAAACATATGGGAAAGAAAAGATAGCCACCAATATATTTTTTTCAAAATCCTACCCCTTCATTACCACCAGTACCAGTAAGAAATAGAACAAAATGACTTAACAGAGAACACAATTTTATGTAGTTGTAGCCAGTTTGGGCGGTGAGAAGGGGTAGTTTCCCTGCATTCCCAAATGTCTACATTCCAGAATTAATTAGTAATAATAGAAGTATTCTCCTGAATCTAACACATATCTTTAAACCAACTTTTCTATGTGAGAAACATGTGTTTCTTCCTCTTTCACGGCCAGAGCACATAGTCTTAATGCTCAAGCAGTGCTTATTATGTTCAAAATAAACCTCATTTAATTTAATGAATATTAAAAAACACTTCTACCTAAATGGGATTAATATGAAGTGATATAAGAGGAAGAAAACGGGAAAAATTATGGAATTTAAGAGGAAATCTACAGCCTGTCAGTTTAACATGTACAGAAATAATGAGTTAAGTTTGAAGCACTGAAGGAATTTGGTGGTTAAACATCTATAGAATATACCAACAGACTAGTCCACGTGATACCTAACCCACATTCTTCCCAGACATCCTAATACCTCATACAAGCTCTCGGATATTCAAATATATTCTCTAAATCTTAACTAGTCTCATATATTAGTGGAAGGAAGTACCTGCCTGACTATATGGGAAAAATATTAATTTAGGGTAGATGACATTGCATCATTACCTACTCCCCCTCATACGTGAGTTTGCATTAGGATCAGCTTGTTGTGACATGAAACACTGGGCTGTAATGCATAATAGTGAAAAGACTAAATGTTTCCTAGTTTAAGTTCACATAGCATGACTATTAGCACAAAGCCTAAGAAAATCACTTCGGTAAGTAATACGTCTATGGAATAAATAACTATTGGGAAAACAGTTCTGGGCTTATTAACTGAGCTAATGGAGTAATATATTATGGTACCTCAGGAATCTAACTTTGTTTAAAAAATATATTGCTGTTGGCTGAATGGTGGCCACAGAAATGATATTCTATGTCCCAAATTCTAGAAGCTGTATATTAACTTATTTGGAAAAAGGGTCTTTGCAAATGTAATTAAGGATCTTGAGAAAATAATTTTAGATTATGCAGGTGGGTCTTAAATCCAATAACAAGTGTCCTTATAAGAGGCACAAAGAGAAGAAACAAACACATAGAAGAAAAGACAATCTGAAGACAAAAGCAATGATACAGCCACAAGTCTGAGAATGCAGACAGCCACCAGAATCTGGAAGAGGCAAAGAACAATGCTCTGCTAGACACCCAGAGAAAGCAGAGCCCTGCCTGAGTTTGAGGTGTGGTCTGCAGAACTGTAAGAGAATAAATTCCTGTTGTTTGAAACCACCCAGCTTGTGATGATTTGTTATGGCAGCCCCAGGAAACTAATATAGCCATCTAGATTACTATGTATTTTAAACTTGTATGGAGAGTGAGTTCCAGCTATAGAGAAAACCACTGGACATTTCCTCAGGATAGACAACATCTTATAATACAGGTTCCACCCAGAATTAACTGTGTGACCTTGAACAAGAACCTTAGCCTTCCAGTTACTCAATTTATTTATGTGCAATTGGACTAGATGGTCTTAAATCTGACTTCCAAATCTAAATTCTACATTTCTGTTAATAATTGACAGTAGAAAATGAATAAGGGGAAACACATCCAGCATTTTGTAAACAGAATCTCACACATACACAGCAGATATCAAATACACACACACACACACATTCATATAAAAAAGCTTTTGGGTTTGTGTTATAAGGAGAGAGGGAAGAAGAAACAAGATTAGCTGTAATTGCTATCATTTATATGCCAAATGTTGTTTTATGTTATCCTTATGATAAACTTGCTGTTGTAGCAGCCTCGGTCCAATCAGGAGATAGTACAGTGGTTTAAACAGGGGAAGTTAATATAAAGAATAATTAAACTAAGATGAAAGAATAACTGTAATATCAGAAGAAACTCTGCATAGTATGCCAAGGCTGAGGGAGAATCCTCAAGGAAGGACAAACTTGAAGGAGGATCAGCCCTTACTGGAAAAGATATAGTTTAGTCACTGGACAGCAGAGCAGTTTGCTAATCTGGCCAGGCTGAAGTAGGTCTAGAGACCATCTTCCATAGTGTAGGCAGAAAGACTCTCAGCAACTGGCCTGGGTGTGCAGTGAGAGTCTGGTGCTGGCCAGGGCAGAGGTCATCAGGGTGTGAGGAATGCAGGAGACCTGAAGAAGGAACACTACCTATTATGTATTGCCCTGCCCCTGGTGGCTGCATACAGGCTGATAGACTTCTGGGTTGTGTCGAGAGGTCTGCAGAAAGAATATCATTACGCAGAGCTGCAAAATCAGAGATATGGCATTCTGGGCCTGTGACTGGAGCAGGCTGCACGAGATGTCCTCACATCCACATTGCTGATCTCCCCAACCCACACCAAAATCCTAAGAAACCTCTTTCTCCTTAGTGTCCTTCTAGTACCCTCTATCAGGAAAATTTAGCATTGGCCCCAATTTAATGCTAAAAAAAAAAAAAAAAAAGAATTCCTCTATCCCAGAGCATGTATTAAAGGATGCATGTGGAACTGAGAAACAATGAATTGATAACTGACACACTTGTAGAGTAACTATTATCTATAATCACACACGGGGACACCAATGTTCAGAGAGGTGAATACAGCCACTAAATTCCAGAGCTAGAAATTATATTCAGAGCCATAAATGGTTGATAATTCCTGAAACTAGGCTCTAACCACACCTCAAGATGAAAGTGTGATGAAAATTGCCCACTTACAGTATTTTGTACTTAATTGTACTTCTTGTGATCATATGGTAAAACTTCATCTGATAAGAATTTTTCTGCACCCATTTTGTTAAGAAAAAGAAATGACAAGATCACTTACCCTTATCCTATGCTTTCTACACTTCCCTTCACTCTCAGGCTGGGATAAATGTCTCCTCCCTTTGTGAAATGCCATCTTCTTAGCAAAGACATCTTGGGTTTCATCATAGCAAGCATCACACTCTAAATTATAATTACCTGCTACCTATGTGTCCCTTACCCTAGAGCTCCAACCTTTGCAATTGTGGAGACTGAGTCTTACTCATGCATCTTTGTAGCTAGGCCTGTGTCCTGCTCATAGATTTTTAATGTAAGAGAATTGAACTAAATGAAAGAGAACAGATCCATATCAGGGATCTACTCAAACAAGTCATTTCCAGGATATAACTCAGGGTCAAAGACTGCTGATCATGCGGCTAAAGGACACACACCAGTAATTCCCATTAGACCCTTCATAGCATGGTATATAAG